TCTCTGGCCCTGAGCCTGGTCACTCCACTGGGTCCTGGGGATGTTCTTCATATGTGATCTGGGGGCAGCGCCGTGGCTCGAACAGACACTGGACAGCGGCTGGACCCTCGAGCAACCCTGCGTCTCCCACAGACCTCGCACGGAATCCGACCTTCTCTGCAGCCGACAGGTTTTAACTTGGAGTGGGCAAGGAGTTGTCACCCGCCTCGCTGCAGAAGCAGCTGTGAGTGTAAGCCGTGCCCGAGGGCAGCTGTGGGCCGGGGGCCTGACGACGGCTGCCCGCGGCCCCACTGCGCTCCGACCTTCGCTGGTCCTGCCGAGTCTCTGAGCCACTTTCCTCGTTTCCTCTCCGTTCTTGCTGAAAGTCACCGCGGCTCTTGCTCCAAAATACTAACTCTAACTTGCTGTAAACATAAAAGTCAGGCGTGCACTTCCATTTACATCTTATGGAAGTGGCACAGCCCAGGGTTTGTTTATTTTTACTTATTTAGTGGAAGTACTGGGGATGGAACCAGGATCTTGTGCATCCTGAGCACATGCTCTACCACTGAGCTCCACCCTCCCCAACCTAGGGTCAAACCAGACCCCCCGGGTCCTAGTGCAGGTGTCTCTTTCTAGGACTTTCTGGGTAAAGAGCTGCTGTCTGTAGAACTAGTCAGCAGTGGGGTTCAGTGGGATAAATGGTGATGTCAGTGGCTCTCACAGACAAGAACTTAAAATCCCCTGGAGCCCTTGTTAAAACACAGCCTGCTGGGCCTACCCCAGGGTTCTGACTCGGTCTGGGCGGCCTGGATAATCTGCATTTTTAACAAGTTCTACGCGATGCCCATACAGGCTCAGAGAACCACTGAGCTACGACAGGGCTGAGGCCTGCCGTAATGAGCACACAGGACATGGCAGGCATGGCTAAGAATAGTCAATCAAGATGTGCTTTGTTAAAAGCCTTCCCGGTTCTGTTCTATTTGAAAAATGTCCCCCACGACTCTTGCCTGAGAAGAGAAATTCAAAAAAAAAAAAACAACCTGGTCTTTCTCAGCTCACTTTTCTTAGAAGTTGAGACATGTGGCCCACACCTGCTCCTAGGCACAGCTACTGATGGATCAACCCTGGCAGCCCTTGCATATTTTTCATTGCCAATAGAGTTACTGAAATTGAAACATCCCATCTGTTTGAGAGTTTTATCAAAGACAGGTGACACGGCTGGGGGTAATGACAGAGTCAAGCTGCTTCCATGGCAAACTTCTCCATCTGCCCGAACTGAATTCTTGCCTCAGATTTGGCATTTGTGAACCATGTGTTCTTCTGGCATAAGAACTGGAAGTCCAATATCACAAACTACCCATTAGTTACCCAAAGCAATATCCACAGTTTTGGAGAATGAGTCCTTCAAGTTTCACACCTTTTGGCTGAAGAAGAACCAGCAGAAACAGCAAATTCTGCTGGAGAATATGCTTCCATTTTTTTCCATTTTTTTAAAACTGAAGTATAGTTGGTTTACAATGTTGTGTTAGTCTCTGGCACAGAGCATAGCGATTCATTAATACATACGTGTATACATATTATTTTTCATTACAGGTTACTACAGGGTGTTGAGTGTAGTTCCCTGTGCTGTACAGTAGGTCCTTGTTTATTTTATTATATACAGTAGTTTGTATCTGCTAATCCCAAATTCCTAATTTATCCCTCCCTTCCCTCTTCCTCTCCTGGTAACTATAAGTTTGTTTTTTATGTCTGTGAGTCTGTTTCTGTTTGTAAATAAGTTCACTTGTGTCTTTTTTAGATTCTACATATAAGTGATATCACATGGGATTTTTTTTTTCTGGCTTACTTCACTTAGAATGATAATCTCCAGGTCCATCCATGCTGCTGCAAATGGCATTTTTATGGCTGAGTAGTATTCCACTGTATAAATATACCACAACTTCTTTATCCAGTCATCTGTCGATGGATGTTTAGTTCTTTCCATGTCTTGCTGCTGTGAACACTGGGGTGCATGTGTCTTTTTGAATTAAACTTTGAGTTCACTCTGGATGTATGCCCAGGAGTGGGATTGCTGCATCACAGGGTAAGTCTGTTTTCACTCTTTTGAGGAACCTCTATACTGTTTCCCATAATGGCTGCACCAAACTACATTCCCACCAGGAGTGTAGGAAGGCTTTCTTCTCCACCCCCTCTCCAGCACTTATTATTTGTGGACTTTTTGATGATGGTCATTCAGACTAGTGTCAGGTGATACCTCATTGTAGTTTTGATGTGCATTTCTCCAATAATTAGCAACACTGAGCATCTTTTCTTGTGCCTGTTGGCCATCTGGATGTCTTCTTTAGAGAAATGTCTATGTAGTTCTTCAGCTCATTTTTTGACTGGGTTCTTTGTTTTTTTGCTATTGAGTTTATGCATGTATCTCTCAGTCTGTGAATTAGAATGTAGGTGTTCCCGGATGCAGTGAACACCTGACTTCTCTTTTTTTAATGTTTCTGTAAAACAGTTCCCAAAGATGGGCTTGCTCCCCAGCACAGTGCTTTGAGGGTTTGTTCTCAGCAGTGGGTGGTGACCCCACCCCAGGGACACTCTCCATGCACCCAGGACACGGGCACAAGGAAGGCCAGTGTCCACCTTTGCTTAGAGGACACAGAGGTGCAGGGGAGCACCCATCCCATTGGTACAGGTGGCCGGGGAGCTGCTGGGAGATAGCAAGTGGGGTCTGAGGATAGGGGAGCCACTGCTGTGGCCATCGTGTGGGAAGGGTCAGTTATCTTCCCCAGAACCCACCATGATGCGGGCTCTGTGGGCTGGACCCACCTCGGACACGTGGTAAGGCAGTTGGCCGTCTCCACCAGACCTGCCCTCTGGACATTCTGTTGTAGCGGCAACGAGGAAGGACACATGAGCCCCCGTTGAAAAGCCACAGCGGTGCCCACTGCCCCCGATGACCAGGAGGTGTTCCTTCTAAGCCTGTAAGCTGCCCGCCGCCCTCCCTGCTCCTCCAGGTCTCAGGTCTCCCCGCTGCCCGGCACAGCTGTCCTCCCAGGCACCCTCTGCTCGGACCAGGGGCTCCGCCCGCACACTGCTTTCCCTCCTGCCCCCACCAACGGCCAGGTTCTGTCGGTCTCCGTGTCAACTTACAGGCCGGCTGGTTTTCTCATGTCTGACCTTGAAAATGAGATAGGATGAAAAACAGTTCAGACTTTGTCCCTTCCCATCAACTCAGAGCTACGTGTCACCAGCTCAAGAGGAGATCTGTAACCTGCATCTGCAAGTTTGCAACACGGATGGTGACATCCTCTCAGGGACTCAGCTCTGGCTGCAGGACCATCCTTCTTAGGCTGCTCAGATCCTTGAGGGGCTCAGAGAGGTCTGGAACCCCTCTCCTTGAGTGGCCCCCTGAAAGACGGGCCCTCTTTTGGAGCCTCGGCACCAGAAACCTGGTCTCAGGGCTTGTCCACTGTGCACTCCTTTCGTGAAGGTCAGAGGCCCACCTGGATGTCGAGAGGGGACGGCTCCCTGCACAGAGTGGAGCGGCAGGGCCAGGGGGTGGCTGAAGGAGCTTTAGAAAATGCCGTGGTAAATTCATGTACGGATGGCGGTGTTTCCTCCCTGCTCGTGGTCAGAACCCCCTTGTATACTTTTTGTAGACGCAGCTTATTGAGGACAGGGTCACCGGGCTTCTGCTCACACCAGAGCACAGCCGGTGCGCAGGCTGGTCGCCCTCCCTTAGCGCATTAACTAAACTTCAGTTCAGGATGCTGGTTCATTTTCTAACACCTGCACGACCTCCCAGTTCCCAGGTGGGATCGCTGGGTTGGGAACTACAGTCGATACCTTGAAATGGTTCTGCTCCCAACTTGCTTCTTCCTCAGTTTCCTTCTCCCACCCCGGGTGTCAGTCCTCTGAGTGAAAACCACTGCAGAGGCAGCGAGTGGTGCTTCAGACTAAAGAAAGGCCCTAGAACCCTTCATGACCGCCTGTCACTTCCTGCTTTGGTCTGCAATGTGCCCGAGCTCTAGGCAAGGAAAGTGCTGTTGATCTGGGTATTAACAGCAAGACTGTGACCAAAACGCTTGATTAAAATAGCTGAGACAAGTTGTCGCCCAGAAGCCCAAACAATTTTAATCTGATTCAACCTCAAGACACATATTAAAAAAGAAAAAATTCCTCGCACCATCTGTTCCTTCAGTTAAGCGTGAAATCAGTCCCTGTAATTCTTGTGCGGAAGGTGCCCTCTTACAGCGTGGAGAGGCGCGGGAGGACTGAGCACCAGCCAGGGCTGAAAGGCGTCTGGACCACAAGGGAATGACTTTCACTAGGTGGCCCTTTAGTCTCTGCTCCAGGAGGAACTCAGTCCCCTTCACACACGCCTGTACCGGTTCCTGCCCTTTCATCCAGGAGACGGAAATCCAGGAACTTGAAACAGCGCAAGATGCGAAGTGAGTTTATCAACGACTCACTGACTAATGATTTGTTAATGGCCTTCTTCGTACCAGGCTGTGCACAAGCCTCTACAACTCCAGGAGCAGATACGTGATTCTCTCCATTTCACAGATGGGAAATCGAGGCACAGAAGGACTGGATCAGGCTGACACAAGCATTTGTGGTCTGCAGAAAGCTATTTCTCGCTGTGAAATAACATGCCAGATCTCTGATAATACAAGTCCGACTCCAGGAGCATGGATAACTGCTCACCACAGCAGTGAGCCCGTCCTGGGCGTGTGTGGCCAAGTCAGGGTCACCTGGAACACTGAGGGCTGAGGTAATGTCACCGAGACACTGCCGCCCGCAGTGCCTTTCGACTAGGTGGTCTGAGGCCTTCCGAATTTTTACATCACCCTCATCCTTTCAACTTGAGATCTCTACGATACTGACTATAAAGAACCCAGAACAGCACAGAGGAACACGTAGGCATTGATAAGGAAGCAGGAGGAAGGCTTCTAACGAGGAGCCCAGCAGCCGGTGTGTCCCTGAGGAGCCCAGCAGCCGGTGTGGCCCTAAGGTGTCTCCACTTTCTGGTCCCCCACAAGGCGGTCTGACTGGGTTTCCCGGGGTTGCGTGACAAGGCTCACTGTATCTGTGAATTCCCATGTCCCAAATGGTAAATAAGCCAGTCATCTCCACTCTGATGTTTAAAATACCTGTAAAAGGCAAAAGGTGCTCTATTTAACAGGTGCTTGCAAGGTCTAACTGCTTCTCTTTCACGCCCTTCTTAGCTCCAGGCCACAGACAGCATCCACGTAGGCAGCCGTGGACCCGGCTAGGGCTCCCGAGGAAGGACGGTTCTCCCAGCCATCCCAGTGCCCTCGAGATCCGAGACAGCCCGGAGGAAGATGCAGCCGGCAGACGGAACGCGGCAGCCACCCAAGCGCTGAGTCCCGCCTGTCCCGCCGCCCAGACTCCCTCCGCCATGGCCTGTAACGGCACGTCCTTGGAGACCCACCGGTACGCGCTGCTGAACGCGAGCCTCGGGGTGGACCCCGGGGCGCCCACGCCGCCCGCCCCGCTCAGGATGTCCCTGGCCGTCATCATGGCTCTGATGGTCGTGGTGGGCTTCCTGGGCAACGCGGTGGTCTGCGTCATCGTGTACCAGCGGCCGGCCATGCGCTCCGCCATCAACCTGCTGCTGGCCACGCTGGCTTTCTCCGACATCATGCTGTCCGTGTGCTGCATGCCCTTTACCGCCGTCACCCTCATCACCGTCCGCTGGCGCTTCGGGGATCACTTCTGCCGGCTCTCGGCCGCGCTCTACTGGTTCTTCGTCCTGGAGGGCGTGGCCGTCCTGCTGATCATCAGCGTGGACCGCT